TGATATCGCTTGATGTTATCATTGTTCTTAATAATAGCTGACATAGCGTCTGGAGTCAGGTTATTGTGGATTTTATACATAAGCTTAGCTAAGCTAATTTTATACATAAAGGCTAAAGAAGACCAATTAGCCTTTTTCATAACATCTGCATTAGATATCTCCCAAGGTAGCTCAAAGATAATTCTCGCAGCTCTACAATGCAGTGCTTCTAATGCCTTAAAACCCTCCTTATTTGTGAGGCCTCCCCATACTGATATACCATATACAATCGACGGCATAATAACTCTAAAATACAAGTCTAATAACATATTCTTTGGAAGAAATTTGCTACGTTTTAACAAGTTTAACTTATCAACAAAGCCTTTTTTAACAACACTAACATGTTTAGACCAGTTTAGTTGATCATCTATCAATACGCCTAATAGACGAGAGTGTGTAACCCATTTGATGGTGTGCTGGGCCAACGTTAATTCTTTCAATGGGCCAGTGAATCTTCCTCGATGGAGGATCATTGCTTCGCATTTCTTTGGATGAGGCACAAGGGAGTTTGTTTGGCACCAGTATAGAAGCTCTTCCAAAGCTTTGTTAAGTTCAGAAATTACTGCGTCGATAGAATCGCCATTGCAATATAGGGTAGTATCATCAGCATACATGTAGGTTGTCGCAGTGGTTATGGCTTCAGGTAAATCACTTGTGTAAAGAGAAAATAAGGTCGGTCCTAGAACGGAACCCTGCGGTATTCCAGACTTAACAGTGTTAAGATCTGATGCTATACCATTTAGGACAGTATATTGTTTTCTATTGCCATCGTGGTATATGAGCAATTATATCATGCTCTCCAAATTTGGTAACTGTACGCGTCTACTCTCAAAATCGCGCGTGCTTGTTGGATATGAGATAATTATAGCCAACTCTGCACTACGCGCCTCGTTGGCCCTACCATATCATATCCAACTCGCACTCGTGGCATAATTGTTAAAGAGTCCACCACCACGCTTTTTATTATGTTTCTTTGTGTTCCAACTGCATTTCAGACCTCCGAGACACTGTTTAATGCTTTTATTGGGTGTAAACCTGTCGCTCAAAAAAAGGCATTAAACAGCAGTGCCTCGGAGGCCTGAAATGCACTTAGAACGTTAAAGAAACACTGAAAACGTTAAAGGTAAGCTTCAAAGCGATATTCATTGTGCTTTTGCATCTGTGGTCGCTTGAGAGAGGTGGTCGCACCTGGAAGCTCGACTGTAGTCTGTAGTCGGAAAAAATGAATATCATTTCTATTATGTAGTTAAGCTCCGATGAGCAGAGTTCGTTGAACCTAAATCGCTATTTAAGGTAACTATAAAGAAAACGGCATATTATTCACTAACTGAACGAGAAGATGACGGGGTTTAGACTTTCTACTTGTGTGCTGCGGCGTATGGTGATATTCAAACTCTGTTTAAACCTCTGATCTCTTGCAGAAAGTGCGGTGTAAGCTGTGGGAAAATGCTTTTGTCATCATGGACAGTGTCTCTGTCTTCCTGGGTACTCCCTGGGACCGTTCAATGAGTGTTACGAAGGCAAGTTGCTACAATTGTTAAAGGCCTATTTACGCGTACGAATTAAGGTAAGCGGGAAAAAAAATACGTTGATTAATACAGGCATTAATGCTCTATTAACAAATGGCTGGATCAATGCTGCATTGATACATAACATTGGTACAGGAGCGAACATACCACCAATGTATTATTATTGTTACTCTTGATTATTATTATTAGTATTATTATTATTATTATTATTATTATTATTATTATTATATTCACATTATTATTCGGCTATTATCATTATTATATTAAAAATCGAAATGAATTGTTTCTTAAGCGAAAGGAAATGTAAATGTACTGCTTTGGCTGATATTTTTTAAGAGAAATTAATTGTAAATAGGATTTTATAGTTAGGGACGGACCATTATTTTTTGGACGTGGAGCCAGGAGGGTTGAAAAATTTTCACATGGAAACATTTTTTTTATATTTGCGGCTCCGGCTACAAAAACATGGTTTTGTGTCTCTGTCTTCCTGCAAATACTGTTTCTTTACTTGCATACAATTTATTTCAGTGTTTACAGCCTCTGCAAACAATTTATTTCAAAATTTTTCACCCCCCTCCCCCCGTCAAAAACATAATGGTCACTTAGCTTTCTTATCAATAAAAGATTATTAAAATTTGAAAAAATTATCAATATTATTACTATCATTATTATTTTTGTTATCATTATTGTATTAGCTTATTATAAGAAACAAACAAAGAAAACGTGTTGGCAGAGACAACACAAAGAAAAGTAGAGGTATATATAATTCGAAATGGAAACTTTGTTCGTGGTACTTTCCCTTTTTGTACGAAGAGGGTCCGTGCGAAGAAATCTGGCCACGTGGAGGGTTCTTCGTAGTTTCACTAGCACCGTTACTGGCGGAATTCCACTGAAATAAATACTCTTCTTTCTTAGGTGTCAAAAATTTCAGAAGTGTATCGAGAATTTGGAGCCAAAATAATGGAAATTAAGGTCGCGGAAATTAACACTCCACTGAATTAACGGCTCGGAAATTAACGTTTATAAAAATTAACGCGACTTAAATTAAGGCGGACTTTCGAAATGCGCGCCAATTTAATGAAGCGTTAATCTAATTCCTTTAAATGTTATTAATATTATTATATGAGATATACTAGTGTAATTGCGATTAATTTTCTCTCTCAACATTATTATTATTATATTCTCTATTATCACAGTCTTTGCTGGTGTTCTTTTTGCGCATCAGCCGGGCGCAAACCATGCACCTAGAGCGTCAGTCACTCAAGTCAATCATTCTGTTCATACACTGAGCACCTTTCTAAGGATTCGTGCAGATCCCAGCATGCAGATCTTTTGAATCTCTGTTATACTAGCTCTCTCTGATACTTTCTTGATGTTTTCTACCATACCCTTCTTCACTGCACCAAGCGCACCAACAACCACAGGGATCACTACGGTTTTCATATGCCACATTCTCTGTATTTCTAGTTCTAGGTCTTTGTACTTGCATTTTTTTTTCAGTTTCCTTTAGTGCGATGTTTCTATCTGATGGAACAGTCATATCAATAAGTTTGCAGGTGGAATTCACTGAATCTTTAACGATGATATCTGGTCTGTTCGCTGTTATAGTTCTATCAGTATTGACTGGCATGTCCCACATGATGGTGATGTTGTTATCTTTATTGTGTATCACGGTCTCTGGTTCGTGTTCGTACCATTTATTATTATTATTATTATTATTATTATTATTATTATCATTATCATTATCATTATCATTATCATTATCATTATCATTATCATTATCATTATCATTATCATTATCATTATCATTATCATTATCAAAATACGGTTTCCACACGCCTTTCTCGTTTTCGGAGATATATCCGTACACCCTTCCCGATCTCAAAAACATTACCAAGTTTTATGGGAATAAGTATACATGATTTTATTAAAGCAAGCTAAAGGTCTATAAAAATTTCATGACTGTAATAACGAGATGGTCTTTTCAACGAGGTTAGGTAATTAAGAAAATGAACGAGTCACCTTTTCAGCATCGAATGAGATAGGATTAAAAACTGGGTACACTGGGTACCGTAGTGTTCACGTGACTTTAAATGATAAATACTTTCAAAGTGAACACCGCCTATGTGCCTCTAATTAACAGGTCATAAATGAGAATTCTGGTTTCGTTTTTTTCTAGATTCCTTCTTTTTACTTGGATCAGGAATGGCTGTCAAATCTCCCTTCATTCTTATCATGGCTGGGTTGTTTGCATATACAGCCCTTCTTTGAACTTTCTTCTACTTCCAATAAATAATAAAATTCCGGTTGCAACATTTTCTGATCATATCATGGGATTGAAACTTAAGGGCGCCGGCTATAAAAAGGACAGTTAACGTTTTGACACCAATAAAAGTTATTCATGTCATTATTTAACAGTCTTCAGTGAGCCTTGTTTATCAAAATCGGTAGTATGATTCACGACTCTAATCACAGTTCATATCAATATTTATAAAGTACAAAATAATGAAACTTCGTTGCTCACTGCTTCCACATTTATTGTAAAAAAAATCTGCATTCCGTTTGTTTTAAGCTTAAAGAAAGAACTGAAGTATTGGTTAATAAAAATGGTTTAACCAATGTCCATTGATCGCGGAAATGGCTCCTTTATTTAAAAGCGGGAAACTGAGAATCAGCAATCAATTTCTACTACAATTGTTTTCATTCCAATTTTGTAATGACTTTTTAACGATTTAAATATATACCATGGAGTTCCTAGGGTTTAGCTTAAAGTTGTAGCATTATCCTGGCTAATGGAAACGCTCTCTTTCCGTAACAAACATATTTCAGTATCTCAGCTATGATACTTTTGACCTTAAGTTCTGATGAAGTTACGAGCAGATTCTGGAAATTATTTGTCTTGATCATCTTTCTCCTCTTTCTTCCAGCTCCTTTTTTTTTGCCATCCGATCAAGTTCAACGTCTGACAGTTTCGGTTTGGCAGTTCGTCAAGTTAATATCTTGCGTCCGGAAAAATTCGACGAGCTGTTTTCAAACAAAAAAATATTTAAGGGTTATCAATTTAAGATTTATTTAGCAGGAATGCTTTTTAATATCAAAAATCAAACAAATAAATATAGGATTAATGTTCTAAGTAATATATCCAGTGTATAGTCACTATCAAGTAGTAAACTTGAATGAGATAAAAGATCCAAAGCAAGCTTCCCTTTGAATGAGCAAATTCTCAGGCATTCGAGGCATTGATTTGGTTCAATGCCCATGCATGATGTGAGCAAATGAAGCTTTATTTAATTTCTTACCCTTTCAAGACTGAAGTAAGGAGATCGAAAATTTTCATGGTTTTGATTTGCAGTATATATATTTTTTAAACTATCACAGACAGAGAAGAATGCAATGGAATGTGAATTGTGTCCGATAAAGACGAGTTAACTTACTCGAGGTTCGAAGCCTACTGCTCATATTATTAAGTGCCATAATGTCTGCCGGACGGGATTGCTTGATACCGCACACTCTCCCCACCCGCCTGAGGACGTAGAGGTAAGCCTTCCGGTAAGGGCGGGATAAGGCACAGTAAACCCAAGGATTGAAAATTGAGTTAACCAGGGACATCTGTGCAGAAAGTGATTGAAGAACGTCTCGGTGCTTTTGGGTGGCAAGCTCCAATGTAATGCTTATCTACGGTAGCAACAACAAAACGAAAAATTTTAAAGTCATTCAAACAGCCTTCAGTTGATTTATTAGAAAATGAAGTTGTCGGCCTGAGTTTCTCAGTGGGGTTAAAATGAAACCTTTTTCGTCTATTTTGCACTGAAAATTAAGGAAGTAGAAATTTAAAATGGTATACATACAACGATAGGTAGCCAGCTAACGTAGAAGAGAAAAACCGCTGACTGAAGAACCTTTATGAACTGGCGGCTCTCCTTAATACGACTATTTATTCTTTCCTTGCGGGGGCTTCTGGGACGGTTTTCTTGCGCCAGCTCTGATAAAGTACTTATTTTTCTCGTCGTGGTGGGCACATCATCGTTGCCTTGCTTACAATTTTCTTCCATCTCTTTAATTCGATTATCCTTTCCTTGTGTTGATGTTTCCATAGCCTGCAGTTTACCATTCTGAAAGGTCAGCGTCCTTCCGCGTTTCAATCGATCCAGTCTTCCCTGGTATCTTCTCATTTTAAGTGAGACAGCGATAAAGCTGGTCAGCACCACAGAAAGCTGGATGTAACCTAATATGGCAATAAAAAGAGCGAAGCCGCTTCCAAAGTCAAACGAGCACAGGCCCCTATGAGCATTAACTGGCCCCCAGCCTATAGCGGGCAAAGCGGCGATGAAAGCCGCTGACAATATGCCGCAGCCAATAATTTTGGCGACATTAACACACGTGACTTTGGTACGATAAAACAACGGCCGCAGTGTTGCGCAGAAGCAGTCCAGAGCCATTAACGTGCTGATGAAAGAAGCAGACAAACGCAGACAAGCAGACATCCAGTTAAAAACATGACAAAGTGTGTGCATTTGTAAATCTCTGAATCCATTCGAGTCTATTTGAAACACAATAATCGACATTAAAACAGGTCCCAAGTCATTTAGGAGATCTATGACTGCCAATGAGCCCACTAATAAATCGGGAACACGACGAATCCGAAACGATTTTATCGCCAGAATGAGTAGACCGTTCCCTAGTAAAATAATTGTGAAAAATAGCGGCAATATTGATAAAAATCCAGCGCCGTATTGATTATCGTTGTCCTTTGTAGACAAAGAGTAATTTCCTTTGTCCATCGTTGTTTATTCACACTTCCAGCGATAAATTCAGTTTTATTAAAAATGCAGATGGGAGGCGGAACCCAGCCCTCCTTTATAAATAATGGCCCATACACTTTAGATAAGCATCTACCTTGATAAAGTGCCTTTTTAGTGTAGGAAAAATCTTCCTGAAAAAAAAAAGAGAGTAAAACAAGTTTGCTGAAATGAAAAGAA